AACAAGTGAAATGTTGAGACTGAGACTCGCTCACTTGAAGAGTTTTTTCTCCAGATCCAGCTCTTTGTACTTGGTGCCCTCTTCCTTCACAAATTTCTCGGCGTCCTCCTTGGTGCAGAACGTGACAAACACGGAGCCCTTGAAGGTTTTCTTGTGGAAGTCTCGCCTCATGAACACGTTCTCCACAGCTCCGTACGTTTCGAAGAAAGCCATCAGTTCGTCCAGATGTGCGTCCAGCGGGAAAGCTTTCTGTGGAAAACAAAACGAGGGAATGCACGGGGGAAACCATAGGTTAAAATTTGGCTGCAGACTTGGTGTGAATACAGCCGAGGAAACAAATTCTTTCACTTTCTTGAATCTGTTGAATCTTTTTTTGCTACAAAATTTTGATGCCCTTCTTAACATGGTTAATACCCAAATGGAAAGTACGATAAAGAAAGAGGCAAAGTCACTACAATACATATAGAGGGGGGAAACAAAAAACATATGTGAAGCAGCGTGGTGGAATCAGGCTCTCGTCAATTTTTGGGCATGTAGAGTTATTGGTATCATCTTAAAGCTTGTTCACTTGTCTTTATTTAGATGAAAAAAATATCCTTTTATCTTGAAAACAAGTTGAGATATTTGCGAAAGAAGGAGGTGGGGGTCGCCTGTTTTCAAAGGTAAAATTAATGAGAAAATGGCCGCCAAACATTAGTTATTTCCTTAGCTTAAGAGTCCTTGGTAACTGAAAATTTACATTTTTTGTGCCTTTAATCAATGCTTTTTAGAAAAATTCACACAGAAATAAGTTCTTTAATGGGCATGAAAGGTGTTGAGCGAAAAAACAAAAATTCGATAAAAATCCACAAACCTGCAGAAAAATGCAAGTTTCTTCACTTTGGTTTATTTGACGAGAGCCTGATTCCACCACGCTGCCTCACATATATGTGTATAAAACAAAACTAAACAACAATTAGATCACTAATTGCCAGTACTTCTGACTCCTACCACACTCGCAAAACAATTTAGTTTTAGTTTTTTTTAAGATTAGTAAGAGTTTTACGGACCTTGCAACACAATATTGAATAAGGTCATATATCAGTGCCGAAGATTAGGTGTTACAAGAGAGTAACAAACACAAAAAAAGGAGGGAAGATAAAGACGATAGACATGTTTGATATGAAAGAAGAAGCAAACCACACCAGAACACCCGCCAAAACAATTTAAAGAGAATACAAATAAAATGTTTAAACTTCACTTCTTTCATCAACTCTTCGGTTTCATTTCTCTTCCCACACATTTGGATAACAAAACAGAGTCCAGGAAAATGAGCACAAAATGAATAAATAGTTGAAGGCAACAGCACTCACAGCATAGATAGACCTGGCGTTGAGTTCATCGCGTCTTTCCTTGGAATCTTCGGGCAATGGCTTGGAGGGATTGCGACGTACCTTGTCCCCTTCCTCGTTCACCTGTACAGAGAAATAAAAGTGTATGTAGCCATCACAGAGAAATAAACATGTCGCCATCATGTAGCCTTCTCATAGAAATAAAAATGTAACAGCCATTGGGGAAAGATACATGTAGCCATCAGAGAAATAAACAAATGACATGTACCCATCACACAGAAATAAACATGTAGCTACCACTGAATAGCAGAACAGACAGCATAAAGGCACATTCACAAACAAACAAACATTTACCTCCATGAGTCCACTGTCCGACTTCTTCAGCGCGCCACAGATGACACTTTGTTCAGGGCTCAGCTGCCTCAGTCTGTTAAACTTGAGCATGGTCTCAATGGTGACCCCTGGCGGAGCTCAGGAAATTGTAACTAGTGATGGCGGCAGAATCATTGTAAAAGCATTTCTCTGTTAATAAAAATATTTTGTTTATTAATTCTATTATTAACTCAACCCTTTTCGGTCAGAAACTATTTCTTTAGATGAATTAACAACAGTGGAAAATTGGGTGTGTTGACACTGCATTAAAAGAAAGACAAAACTTGTTTCAGGAAACGAATCTAACATTTTAATTTGAGGCCACTGAGCTTGACTTCCATTACATGAGACAGTATTATTACAAACAACGTCAGTGCCACAAGAATAATCCAACTTATAAACCCACGACAAAGATAGAGTAGGAAAAGGATACAGCCATCATCTTCTTGAATCTTTTCCTTGAGGAACTTGTCCTTCATCAGATTTATGTCTCCGAAGTAGTACTAAGGGGGGGAAAAATGGAAAAAAGTACATGAGAACATGATTAACACATTTGGTTTCGTGTTAAGAGATTTTGCAAGAGGTACAACTTAAATCTATACTATAAAGACAAAGTACTTCAGACCCTACATAATTATGAAAAGTAAAAAGGACCCCATTCCACTGGAAATTCTTAAATGCTTCTTCAACGTGATATTTGATCTACATTCCCAGCAAAGAAGGTTCAGTAGGTCATATCTTGCCCACAGTCCTTGAGCTTTGAGTGTGGAAAGAAAAATATACACTCCGTAAACCAAAGCACATGGCGCTGAACGGGCAAATTTAAACCAAACAATGTTTTTTAAATTAAAAGAATTTAATAAGTTGCCAGAGCTACACTTGATTAAACTGTAACAACAGCGCTCGATTCAAACCACTTCTAAAAAAACGAGCTGCACACACGATAGTGCCGTGCGGTACTACTCGCAAGCACTCAAAAAATCAATGCCAAGCCCGATACGACTCAAGTGCTCTCTGCACGAGCCAATGAACACTACTGTGTTTTGACACATCCCACCATCCCCACCCCAACTCTTTCCCTGCGCTGTAACAGAGCGACACATGACACAATGATTTACATCAAAGTGACAGGGGAGGATGTGTGTGACTGTGTGTGTGTGTGTGTATGTGTGTGTGTGTGAGCACGCATGTGTTTGGGGAGAGAGGGTGTGTGTGTGTTTGTGGGAGGGGAACCCAAAAAAATCCTGCCACCGCCGCACTTCTTCAGCCCAGCTTCTTTCACTGGGAGAAGGAGATACTGTCGGAACACCAACTGCTAGCAAGCCACGAGGTACAGTGCTACCCCAGCAGCGTTGCTCCAAGCAATGGCGATATTACCCAAGCAGTTCGAGAAAAGCGCTGCTCGCAAGTAACACTCGTACTTGAGCATGCTTGACACAGCACAAGTAAACAACATGAGAGTAATTTTAAAACTAACAATCCAAAAAGAAAAAGATCACATAAAGGTGGGATGTGTATACATGTATGCCTGTCTGTGTATGTGGCGAGGAAAGAAAGCTTTGATTGAAATATGTGCCTACCTCCATCTGTTTGATGATCTTTGCCTCAAGGTCGGAGATGCCATCACCACTACCGTTGGTGTCCGCCGCCATGTTTCAAAAGTCTCGGTGTATGCACAAACTTTGGAACCTGAAATTTTTAACAAAATAGGAAATATATATTAACATTCGCAAACAAAACTAGAGGAGATGAGATATTAGGACAATGGTGGAAATAACATCAACAGGATTTAAGAAGAGGGTGCAATTGGGGTTTATCTAAACTTTTGAACTGTCAAAGTTACTGAGGATCAAATGGACAGACAGGATCACCAACCGACGAGGAAGTAGAGTAAGAAGAACGAAACAGAGCCCAGTCAGAGATGAGGTGGGAAGACTTAGTAGAAGGCGTTGGCGATGGATTTGGACTGGACACACTTTTGGGAAGTAAAGAGGGCACTGACTGAAACATCCGAAATCACAATAAGACTTCCCCTACCAGGTCTGTAAACCTCGAGACTGTTCCTATTCCCGGTTACTGGGTCTATTCAGTCATCACTCCCTAAGAAAAAATCTTCGATGGCACTGTGAACAGTTAGCGAATGTTGAAGTGGAAGTAAGGCACTGCGCCTAGCCTACCTTGTCTATTCTATAGGATTAGACTAAATCTATTTATATATTCTAGAAAGATAGAAGGCATGCCCCCCTGTAACCCCCAGATTTTCTTTAACCCCAGTAGGACAGGCCCCCCAGGAACTCCCCGATTGGTCCAAAGCTCGTCCTATTAATAACAATCAGATATAATTTCAAAAACTATTTATTTGCGACGGAAATGAAGTTGATATATTCGTGTTCAGGGCATCAATATTTTTAGTAGAAAAAGGACAACTGGTAGCTAAGTCGTGTGAGACGGCACATGCGACTAAACGTAGAACGACGCAAACTATTTTTAGGTAAGGCGGCCATCTTGTGTGACGTCAAACCGGGATACCCCTCTGATCACATTACTACATGATCTAAGCATTGCCAACCGCATGGCACCAAAGATCGTGTTTCCTACCCCGGCACGACGTTTGGTGCGATGTATTTCCAGGAGACGTACCGGTAATGTGATATGATGCAGTGCTCCGATGATGCGGCTGAACTCTTCTGCGCTTTATTTATCGAGGCTGGACGGGGGGGGGGGGGGGGGAGGAATCTCCGTGCGTCTTTACGGCAATTTTAGCACACTTAATTGTCTTTGCGGTTTACCGTGTTTCAATTTCAAGCACTGAATCGGCGTTCTTGTATGTTCTGAGCATCAATGATCTTTAGCGATCTTCCATCCCCAGAGCATGGCTGACGTAGGCCTACTGACTACTGTAGTTAGAGCTGCAAGTGTGAAATTTTATTGTGCGAAACACATCGATACTGATAATAGATCTAGATCTAATATAATAGGTCAAGTCACTGATCCAACATGTCGTTCCATGCAGTATCTCCAGAGATCGTGTGTAGATTTCTAGGCCTAGATCTAGATCAAGATTAGATAGAGTAGAGAATCTTTGGTACCTCCGTGGTCTTCTAAAAGGCCACCTCTATTCTCACCCGGGATGAGAATAGTGCAGGCGAGTCTTTTGGCTATTCTCACCCGGTGCGCGTTCACCGTTATAGTCTAGATCTAGGCCAACAAATTTTGCGTTCACCCTAAACCACAGAATTCAACACTGTGATAACAGAAAAATTGTAGAATTCTGTGCCGTGAACCAACGTTCCATTACAACTGTAGTCTACTAAAAGCGTACAATTTTGTCTGTGGGCAGTGGAGAGAGAGAGAGAAAGAGAAGAGGAGTAGCGTGAGAACTTCCGGTCAAAACAAAATGGCGACCCGCGTAGTTCGGCTCGATTCGAAAAGTTAAATAGCCATAGCATCTTTGAAGACGATCAAATTAGCTTACTTTTGTGCTATAACGTAATTTGTTCTTGGCTTTTATCAATTTGATCATCCACACCGATAGACAGTATTAGTATTAGTATTCCAAAATGAGGAAAAGCAGGTCTTGTTTCGCACCGGGTGAGAATAGCCTACGCTGGCAAGTCTCACCCGGGGTGAGAGGTAGATCGTTTTTCTATTCTCACCCCGGATGAGAATAGCCACTTCCCTTCTAAAAATAGTTTGTGGGTATCCCAGGATGTGATGACATCACATTAAAACAGCCAATCAGGCAAGTACGTCATTCTACGTTTAGCCGCATGTGAGATGGGAGGGAAAGCAGAGATCTAGAGTAGTAGGCTATTTCGATGAAGTTTTGTTTCCTCGAAATCGCACAGAACTAGAATCTAGATCTAGCCTATTAGTATTGAAAGTGGCTATTCTCACCCGCCCGGAAGTTCTCGCAAGATCAACTCCTCCCCTCTTCTCTCTCTCTCCGTCTCTTTCTGACTGTCTATCGGTGTGGACGATCAAATTGACCAAAACAAAGTTAAAAAATGATGTTAAAACACAATAGTAAATTAATTTGGTTGTCTACAAAGATGCTACGGCTATTTAACTTTTCGAATCGAGCCGAACTACGCGGGTCGCCATTTTGTTTTGCCCGGAAATACTCGCGCTACTCCTCTCTCTCTTTCTCTCTCTCTCTCCACTGCCCACAGACAAAATTGTACGCTTTTAGTAGGCTACAATTGTAATGGAACGTTTGTTCACGGCACAGAATTCTACAATTTTTCTGTTATCACAGTGTAGAATTCTGTGGTTTAGGGTGAACGCAAAATTTGGTGAACGCGCACCGGGTGAGAATAGCCACAAGACTTGCCTGCACTAAACTAAGGTGGCCATTAGTATTACAGATCATGGGACAACCATACACTAGATCTAGACAGTGGCGGAGGGCAGTGAAGGGCCCAGATCTAGATCTAGATCTATATCTAGAATCTAGACTAGTCTACTGACAGTTACGTATTCAAAGCTTGTTGTGGCGTGTGGCACCGTGTGGACAGCCAGACCTACCGGTACCGCCAGACCGCTACGCTAGAGTCTAGAGTAGATCAAGTTGTCGACAGGATCTCTTGACTAAATCTGGATTTCAATATAACTTACATTGAAATCACCTTAAACCTAAGTAGAGAGAATGTGACAAATGAGCATTGTGAAAACTGAAAACTTACGAAACTCTGATGAAACCGTCTTAGAGCACGGTTGCAATCGGTTACAAGTCCCACGTGTGTGTCCTGCTTTTGATTTTGCACATTACACCACAAGTAGTCGGTAAAGCCAAAACTTCCCACTTCCCACTTCCGGCAAAACAAACCATTTCCCCAGATTATTTTGTTTGACTGCATCAAAGTCGAAGCATTTAAAGCCAAACAAATTAATGATTAGGTTAGGCCCGGCTAAGCGTAAGACCTACTAAAAAAAACTTCTGGTAATAGAAGTTGCATTGTGTAAAAAGAATGATGAAACATTTATGCCCTTTAAGGTAAAAAGTAACAAATTTGGTTTCCAGGGAATGTTCATTTCAGACCCCTCGTCTAAGGGAAGGCCCATTTCATTTTAAGCCAATAACACATCATAGTAGCCTTCAGAAATGTGTGAGGAAAAAAAATTCCGTGGCTTAAAAAATATTTCTGTTTGTCTAAGAAACACACGAATTATTTTTTTACAACGTAACATCATTTTCTATTCTCACACTCTGGTAACACACATACAATACTGGCCATAATATTAAAGTTATAGATTTTAGCTTGAGTGGGCAGGATCTTTTTCTACTTTCACTTTCAACAGCGTGCTTCTGTCCCTGGCAGGTGGCAACCCTGCTTCGACACCAATGAGAGGCTAACTGACCATAGATTTATAACTAAATACTCTCTGGTTACACTAAAAACTAAAAAGGAGATAACTCTATGTATTGTAACATTGTAACTTTACTTGTAACTGACTGAACTGAGTGAGGCATATCGGTATTATCCTTGATCTCCATATTATGTGAATCTAGGCTAGATTTAGACCTAGATCTAGTTCTTTTCCGAGTGCTGTGCTATCTGTCAGTCTTTAGTCTACTTTAGATTTCTATGGCCATAGCCTACTGAAGAGGGAACCGAATTTACACACACACACACACATACACACACACACCCCAGACAGCATGACTTCCTCGGCTGACTGTG